ATGGAGAATTGGTAGCTTAATTACAGATTCAGGGCACCGCAGATTATTCCTCTCAACTGTACAGGCCATGAAACCATGCAGCTGAGTGGGGCTTGAGAGTTTTAGCAACTCAGTCGCGCTTCATTCTTGTTAAGCCCGTTTGAGATGTGTGACGTTGTAACTAATGACACCCCGCTCCTGGTTTAAGTCTCAGTCAAGTAAATAGAACTCGTTCAGAACTCGAAGTTGTTGGGCGGAAATAGACATTAAACGGCGTTTAAGGACTTTGCAGCCACCTTCGTTGGTTTGTTGCGTGTCCTGGGATAATGTGATGGGAGCAGAAGATAAAAGGTAGTCTCAAATTTACGGCCTAAGTTAGGAAACGCATGACTACTGGACGTTATGTAAAATGTATATTGGTGCAGCATTGGTGAGATCAGATCTGTGGGTTACATTCAAGGCTGCCTTTTCTTTTTAACTCAAAGAGATACCTTTTGAGACGTGACTTTGGGAGAAGACTCAGCCAGGAAAGCAGAAGGGCACAGAGGGGATGGTGATTAGTGATAAGGGTACTTGGAAGACTAAGACAGAGACCAGTGTACTGGGGGAAGCAGGTAATTAGAGGTGGGAAACAGTTTGATCTTAAAGTACTCAACCTGTGAGAAAATGAGCAAAACACGGTGTGGGTAGAGGCCACTATACAGGGAGTTAAAAGTGAAGGCAGTGGATTTTGAAGTAATACCATGAAGTTTTTCATGGCACAGGAGGGTTTCTACGTTGCAGGCCACTTGGTGTTCATGCGTGGCACCCCCTTTGGATCTAAAACATCCTCTAGTTGGTTTCCTGCAGTGCTCTTACGTAAGAGGGACAAACTTTGTGTTGGATAAGATGCCCTTTTAGGGTACTAGTTCTGAACTAGGCTTTCAGGGAGTTCCAGAATGCCCAGAAAGCAATGGAACATATTATGGGTTGTCAAAACCTACCATCCTGAGTCCCTTAGCAGGGAATGGGGACATTGCGGGGTTTATTCAGAGAGCCCTTTGTATGCTGAAGGCCAGGTTAGGCATAGGAAGGATCACTTACGTCATTCTCAGATGTAGTGAGTGTAAACCTAGATGTAGACCATAGACTGCATTACTTTTATTAAAGCAGGGATGGTGCTTAAATGGACAATGGAAGCTATATCAACATCAAGACTTATATTGTATGTCTAGGGTGAACATCTAATAGATATATTTTTGTAAAGTTTTTCAGATGATTCAGATTCAGAGCTAGGTAAGTAAGATGACTTCTCTTCACTCAAGCTTGCAGTCTGGTTGGGGAGACATAAATGTAGTCATAACCAGTGTAGTAAGAGTTGTATTAGATGTCACACATAAAATGCTTGGTAGTAGAGAGGAACAACTGCTTGTGTGGCTGGAGACGTCCTCAGAGGGAGTGATGTTTTTGCTGGATGGTGATTAGAGGTGGAGTAAGGGGTGTGTGTGGGGGTGGGGTGTGAGGGAAGGGTGTGGCCCTGTCAGGTACTCTTAGAGAGCTGGATATATTGGATGTTTTGAAATCAGGACTCCTAAAACCTGGAAGATTTTGTGCAACTGGAATGTAGGATATGTGGGTTGGAGGGGAGAGATGATATTTGGCAAGTGGGTCAGGATTAGATTATGAAGGGACTTAAAATGGTGCAGAAGTTTGGGTTTAATCCTGTGTAAACAGGTTAAGTATTGTGAGCATATGTGTACATAAAAATATGACTAGGTGGTAAGTGGGAGTGTGAACTGGGTGATGGGTGGGTAGGAGTCAAAACTGGGAGCTGGGGAAATTAGGAAGGCTGACCTGTAGTTCAGGCAGGAGAGGAGAGGAGGGAGCAGAGTCTGGGGACAGTGCCCCCGGGGAATGGATGAGGCTTGGTGAACCACTGGATATGGAACAAAAGGGGACAGCATTTGGCACGGTGGGAATTTTGTAGCTTCACTGTTTTTTGAAGCAGGTGTGAGAAGTGTATTTGCCCTGCTAATGATGTTTCCTTGTCTCTTCAACCTGTACAGTTGCAGCAGCAGAAGAAAAAACATTTTTTTTTTAACCTTATTTGAGGGGCACCTGGGTGGCTCATTTGGTTGTGTCTAACTTTGACTCAGGTCATGAGCTTACGGTTCGTTAGTTTGAGCCCTGAGTTGGGCTCTGTGCTGACAGCTGGGCACCTAGAGCCTGCTTGGGATTCTGTGTCTTCCTCACTCTCTGTGTGTCCTTTCCCTGCTCACGTTCTGTCTCTTTCTCAAAAAATAAATAAATGTTAAAAACTTATTATTAGAGCACAAGCAGGGGACAGGCAGAGGGAGAGAGAGAATCCCAAGAGGGTTCTGCGCTGGGGCTCTATCCCACAAACCATGAGATCAAAACCTGACTGAGCCACCCAGGCTCTCCAAGAAGAGCATTTCTGAGCACTGTAGCTTTTTTGTTTTTGCTTGCACGTGTAAGCTTTAGCCTTTGCATGTTGGAAATACAGGTAAAAAAACCTTAAGTTTCATTGATATTGCCACAAATAGAATTTCAAATGACATATTTAATTACATTTTCATAAATGTATATATTTGGTTCACTGAAACTTAATTTTGTTTTTAAAAATGAGTGAATGGAAATAGCAAGTAGCAAATGCTAATTTTACCAGAGTCAAGTTAATTTTAAAAAATAACCATTGGAGAAATTGTTATACATTTCTGTTTACAGGATTTTTACCTCCTATAACTCCACCAGAAAAGTTTTTTCTTTCCCAGCTGATGCTGGCACCCCCAAGGGAACTCTTCAAAAAAACACCTCGACAGATCGCATTGATGGATGTTGGAAATATGGGCCAGTCTGTGGACATTAGTGGGCTTCAGTTAGCCTTGGCTGGTAAGGAGGAATCAGTGGTTTGGGTATTCTTGTGTGGTAGCACAAGGCCGCCTTTTTTTTTTTTTTTTTTTTTTTTTTTTTTTTTTTTTTTTTTTTTTTTTTTTTTTTTTTTTTTTTTTTTTTTATGAGCTTCTCCACTTAAAATGAAGGTCTTTGTAACTGTGCTAAAAGCTTAATAACTTCTGTGAAAAACAGCTTCAGTACTGGATCCTTGTTAATATGGCACAGAAGTTCACTCTGAGTTTTCACCTGAATTGATTGTGTTTCCAATTTAAGAAGAATGCTGGATAAAATTTAGTCTGTTTAAAAATTTTTTCCTTATGTCAAAATGATCTACAGATTCAATGCAATTTCTCTTAAAATCCCAACAATGTGTTTTTCAGATAGAGAAAAACCCACCATGAACTTCATACGAAATCCCATGGGACCCTGAATAGTCCAAACAATTTGTCTTGGCACCCTTGTTGAGAATCATTTGACAATATATGGAAGGGTTTATTTCTGGGCTCTCTATTCTATAATAATTGCTTTGCCTGTCTGGATTCTACTATACTTCTGATTACAGTAGCTTTGTAGGAAGTTTTGAAATCAGGACATATGAAACCTCTGCTGTGTCCTTCCTTCTGTTTCAAGATTGTTTTGGCACCTTCTGTGTTACATGTGTAAACGAATGAATGGGTTTTCTTGAAGCAAAACCATGTTGTAATAGAAAATAGGGGGACTTTCTTGATCTGGATGGTCAGAGCATCTCTAAGTAGGGAAGGTAAGAAGAGGCACCTTTTGTTTAACTGCTCTCAGCAAAAATATGGATGAATGGGTCTTAACCACTTGAGAGTGATTCATTAGGGAAATTCTAATATATAGGCAAATTTTTGAACCCTTGATCTTGTGATTGAGCTGCAGTATTAATTAATTTTGACAGTTTCCCATCCTTCTTAGATTTAATGCATCTGTGACATTTGGTTTCTTACATAAGGTGACATTGTTCAATAAACTCCTTTTTCCTTGGAGCATTCTGAACCTCTGAACCTCACTTTTTAACTCCTGGGTATCAACAATATAACAGTGGTTATTTTCTGAAACCAAGAGAAATCTTTTTAAGGCTTTTAAGATTGAATGTACACAAAAATACCTATTGGTGACTAGTGCTGGATACAATCTATTCACAGAAATAAAATACAATTTTGAAAAGATAATGTGAAAGCTGGGTACAGAGGTGATAGGCAATTTCAGTCACCTTACCTTCAGAAGGGATAGATATTTTGAGGGTTCTAGTTTTGTATTTAATAGAGTGAGAATCTGATTTCCCTTGGGATGACTTGAGTTAGTTTGTGAGAAAGTTTTAAAGTATATCAAGCCCAGAAAAGAACACGTTAGTCTTGAGAAAATTGGGCACAGTGGCTAAGCTTGCTGCTTGCTGTCCCCTACCCAGATTGAAGATGTCCTAATCCATTCATTTTTTTTTTTTAAATTTTTTTTTTTTTCCAACGTTTATTTATTTTTGGGACAGAGAGAGACAGAGCATGAACGGGGGACGGGCAGAGAGAGAGAGGGAGACACAGAATTGGAAACAGGCTCCAGGCTCTGAGCCATCAGCCCAGAGCCTGACGCGGGGCTCGAACTCACGGACCGCGAGATCGTGACCTGGCTGAAGTCGGACGCTTAACCGACTGCGCCACCCAGGCGCCCCTAATCCATTCATTTTTACAAGTACCAAAAAACAAAAACAAAGTGATGCACCTGTCTTCTCTGGAGCTGGCTACACACAGATGATCTTTGCAGAGACCCTCAATTCATAGATCTTGTGGTAGGGTTCATGGACCAGAGGTGTGTTTATGGAGGATGCCTTTGCATTTTTTTTTAAACTTTAAATAAACAAGCAGACAAGTTAAACAGAAGTAACTATAAGGGGCACTTTTACCCTGTTAACAATGTCAGTATTCATTTTAGAGGTTTTATTAGAAATTCCTGACAACTTGCACTTACTAGTTTACCACACAATGTGCCAGTTTAAACCTTTTCCTTGCATTTTGGTCAAGAGTATGTTAATTTTTTGTGCTTTAGTAATCTGAGATGAGAAAATGGCATCTCAGGATAATTTTAATTAGCATTTTCCTTGAATGAGTTGAACATGTGGTTACAGATCTAAGGCATCTTTCATGTCTGGCCATTTTTCCATTGGATCGATGGTCTTTTATTAACACTGGTAGCTCTTTAAGGAATTAGGAATTTAGCTCTGAAATTACAAAATCTGAAATTACAAAATTACAAAATCTGAAATACATAATTTCATAAAACCAGCATGTACATTTTAAGGAATTATAAAGTGACCTTGGAGCAACCATTATCTAAGTTCAGAAATGGAATTGTTTCAGGATCTTGTGGCTCCCTATGTGTTTCTCCTACTCGCTGCTCCCTTTCTTCCCCATCACTAACCTGACTTTTGTGATAATCATTCATGATTTACTTTATAGCCCTCCAAACTGTGCATGCCTATAGTTTAACTTTGGATGTTCTTCAACTTGATGTGCATGTGGAATCATACAGTGTTCTTTTGGGTGTGGGTTGTAAGATGAATCCATGTTGATGACATAATGGTAGTGGTTTCTTTATCCATTTTACTATTGATGGACATAATGTTGCCATGAACATTCTGGTACATTCTCCTAGTGTACATATGAAAGTTTCTTCTAGCAGGAAAGATAAGCACATGTAAAACTTTACTAGCTAATGGCAGATTATTTTCCAGATTTTGCTGTGCCATGTTTCATTCCCATTACCAGTGTGCAAGTTACGTGACATTATCTACATCTGATAATTTCAGATGTTAATTTTTGCTAATCTGGAGGGGATCTTGTGTTTTGACTGATTTCCCCACCCCCTGTCCCCAATGGAATTGAACATATTTTCAGATGTTTATTGACCATCCAAGCCTTTTGAAATAAAATGCTTGTTGAAGTCAGCCCATTATTTCTTTTTTAAAACACTGATTTGACTTTTTTTTTAAGACATTAAAGTATAGTTGACCTACAATATTACATTAGTTTCAGGTGTACAACATGGCGATTTAACAGTTCTGCATATTTATTCAGTGGTCATCATGTTAGGGGTAGTTACCATCTGTTACCATACAAAGTTATTGCATTATTGACAGTATAACCTACGCTGTACTTTTCATTCCATGATTTATTTAAAACTGGAAGTTAGTACCTCTTTATCCCCTTCACCTATTTTGCCCATCCTCCTCCTTCCCTCCCCTCTGGCAACCACCAGTTTTCTATCTTTAGGAGTCTGTTTCTGTTTTTTTTTTTTTAATTTGTTTCATATTTTTAGATTACACACAGAAGCAAAATCATATGGTATTTGTCTTTGTGTGTCTGACTTATTTCATTTAGCAGAATAACTTCTAGGTCCATCCATGTCACAAATGGCAGGATTTCATTCTTTTTTAATATTCCTTTTCACAATTCTCCATTGTGTATATATATACCACATCTTTATCCATTCATCTTTGGATGAACACTTAAGTTGCTTCCATATCCTGCTATTATAAACAATGCTGCAATAAACATAAGCGTGCCTATGTCTTTTTGAAATAGTGTTTCTGTTTTCTCTGGGTAAATATCCACAAGTGGAATTACTGAGTCCTGTGGTACTTCTGTTTTTAGTTTTTGAGGAACCTCCATACTGTATTCCAGACATGCTGCACCAGTTTACATTCTCACAGTGCACAAGGGTTTCCTTTTCTCCACATCCTCACCAACATTTGCTATTTGTCTTTTTGATACTAGCTATTCTGACTGGTGTGAGGTCATACTGTGGTTTTGATTTGCATTTCTCTGATGATCAGTGATGTTGAACATCTTTTCATGTGTTTGTTGGTCACCTGTGTATCTTCTTTGGAAAAATGTTCTGGTACTCTGCCCATTTTAAAGTCTGATTATCTGGGTTTTTGTTTTTTTTTTTTCCCCTTGGTGTTGTAGTACTTTATTTATTTTGGATATCAACCCTTTATCAGATACATCATTTGCAGATAGCTTCTCCCATTTATTAAGTTGCTTTTTTATTTATGGTTTCCTTTGCTGTATAAAAGCTCTTATTTTGATGTAGCCTCAGTTTGGTTTGTTTTGTTTTTTTCCCCTTGCCTGGAGAGACCTATCTATAAATAAGTTGCTAAGGCCAATGTCCAAGAGTTTATTGCCTATATTTTATTTTAGAAGTTTTATGGTTTCAAGTTTTATATTTAGATCTCTTATCCATTTTGAGTTTATTTTTGTGTATGGTGTAAGAAAGTGGTCTAGTTTCATTCTTTGCATGTAGCTGTCCAGTTTTCTCAGCACTATTTATTGAAGAAACTGTCTTTTACCCCAATCATATATTCTTGCCTCCTTTCTTGTAGATTAATTGGCCATATAAGCATGGGCTTATTTCTGGGCATTCTATTCTGTTAATTGATCTGTGTGTCTGTTTTTGTCCCAGTACTATACTGTTTTGATTACTGTAGCTTTGCAGTTAGTTTGAAATCCAAGAGCATGATACTTCCAGCCTTGTTCTTCTTTCAAAAGATTGCGTTGGCTATCTGGGGGTCTTTTGTAGTTCCATACAAATTTTAGGATTATTTGTTCTAGTTCTGTGAAAAATGCTATTGGCATTTTAATAGGGATTGCATTGAATCTGTAGATTGGGTAGTATGGACGTTTTAATAATATTTGTTCTTCACAGCCATGAGCCTGACATGTCTTTCCATTTCTTTGTGTCATCTTCACTTTCTTTCATTAGTGCTTTATAGTTTTCAGAGTGCAGGTCTTTACCTCTTTGGTTAGATTTATTCCTAGTTATCTTACTGTTTTTGGTGCAGTTGTAAATGGGATCATTTTCTTGATTTCTCTTTCTACTACTTTGTTACTAATGTATAGAAATGAAGGGGCACCTGAGTGCCTCGGTTGGGCGTCCGACTTCGGCTCAGGTCATGATCTCGCGGTGCGTGAGTTTGACATCTGCGTCGGGCTCTGTGCTGACAGCTTGGAGCCTGGCGCCTGCTTCGGATTCTGTGTCTCCTTCTCTCTCTGCTTCTCCCTGCCTTGTGCTCTCTCAGAAATGAATAAATGTTAAAAAAAAAAAATTAGAATGCAACAGATTTTCTGCACGTTGATTTTGTATCCTGTGATTTTAGTGAGTTTATCAGTTGCAGCAGTTTTTTGGTGGGTCTTTTCAGTTTTTCTATAGGTTAGTATCATGTTATCTGCAAATAGTGAAAGTTTTACTTCTTTCTTACCAGACTATTTTTTTGTCTGACTGCTGTGGATAGGACTTCCAGTACTGTGTTGAATAAAAGTGGTGAGAGTGGAAATGCCTGTCTTGTTCCTGACCTTAGGGGGAAGCTTTCATCTTTTCACCAGTGAGTGTGGTGTTAGCTGTGGGTTTGTCATATATGGCCTTTATTATGCTGAGATTTGTTCCCTGTATACCCATTTTAGTAAGAGTTTTTAATCATGAATGGATGTTGAATGTTGTCAAATGTTTTTTCTGCATCTATTGAGATAACCATATCAGTTTTATCCTTCATTTTGTTAATGTGTATCACACTGGTTGATTTGTGAATATTCAACCGTCCTTGCAACCCAGGAATAAATTCCACTTGATCATTTATTTTTGTTGTAATCTTTATTATTTCCTTCCTTCTGCTTTTAGGTTTTGCTCTTCTTTTTCTGGCTCCTAAAGGTGTAAAGTTCGGTTGTTTGAGATTTTTCTTCTTGAGGTGGACCTGTACTACTATAAACTTCCCTTTTGGAGCTGCTTTTGCTGCATCCCAAAAGTTTTGAACTTGTGTTTTCATTTTCATTTGTTTCCATGTGCTTCTTTATTTCCTGGTTGGCCCATTCATTGTTTAATAGCATGTTATTTAACCTCCATGTATTTGTGGTCTTTCCAGTTTTTTTCTTGTGGTTGATTTCTAGTTTTGTAGTATTGTGTTCAGAAAAGATGCATGGTATGACTTGATCCTTCTGAATCTGTTGAGACTTGTTTTATGGGCTAATATATGATCTGTTCTGGAGAACGTTCCATGTGCACTTGAATGTGTATTCTGCTCTTTTAGGATGGAATGTTCCAGATACATCCATTAAATCCGTCTGTTCCAGTGTGTCATTCAAAGCCACTATTTCCTTACTGATTTTTTGTTTAGAGGATCTGTCCACTGATGTGAGTAGGGTGTTAAAGTTCCCTACTATTATGTATTACTGTCAATTTCTTCATGTTAGTATTTGCTTTATATATTTGGGTGCTCCTATGTTGGGTGCATAAATATGCACAATTGTTGTATCTTCTTGTTCGGTTGTCCCTTTTATGATTATATAATGCCCTTCTCTGTCTCTTGGTACAGTCTTTGTTTTAGTCTAGTTTGTCCTGGGGCACCAGGGTGGCTTAGTCAGTTAAGCCTCTGACTTCAGCTCAGGTCACAATCTCGTGGTCCTTGAGTTTGAGCCCAAGCCCTGCGATGGGCTCTGTGCTTGACAGCTCAGGGCCTTGGAGCCTGCTTCAGATTTTGTGTCTCCCTCTCTCTTTGCCCCCCACCACACTTGTGCTCTGTCTCTCAAAAATAAACAAACATTAAAAAAAATTTGTGAAAGTCTACTTCGTCCTGTATAAGTATTCCTCCCCGCCCCCCCCCCCCATCCATTTGCATGGAATATTTTTTTTCTATACCTTCACTTTCAGTCTGTGTCTTTGGATCTGATGTTTGACATCGGACAGGTCTCTTGTAGGAAGTATATAAATGGGTCTTGTTTTTTAATCCATTCAGTCACTGTCTTTTGACTTAAAAGTAAATGTGCATTTAGTTCACTTAAAGTAAGTATTCATTGATATGTATGTTTTGCCATTTTGTTAGTTTTCTGGTTGTTTTTATAGTTCTCTGTTCTTCTCTTGCTCTCTTCCCTTGTGATTTGATCCCTTTGTTTAGTATTATGTTTGGATTCCTGTTTTTTATGTATCTGTGACAGGTTTTTGGTTGGTGGTTACTATGAGTTTTATATATAATATTCTTTGTATATACCAGTCTAAAGTAAACTGATGGTTGGTTAAGTTTGAACATTCTGAAGGCACTATGTTTTTACTCTCCCACCTCACCCCTGGCTCTGTATTTTACGGATGTATTGTATGTATATGTATGTATACATACATGTATATATTGTCATATTTTACATCTTTTTATTTTGTGCCCCTTATCTAATTATTATAGATATAATTAATTTACTACTTCTGTCTTTTAACCTTCATACTAGCTTTATAAGTGATCTAGTACCTTTAGTATGCATTTGCTTTTACCAGTGCATTTTTTTTTCATAATTTTATTCTAATTATGGCTTTTTCTGTTTCACTTATAGAAGTCCCTTTAACAGTTGTTGTAAGGCTAGTTTAGTGGTGATGAACTTTAACTTTTGTCTGTCTGGGAAACTATCTGTCATTCAATTTTGAGTTCTAGCGTTGCTGGGGTTAAGTACTCTTGATTGTAGGGTTTTTACCAGCACTTTGAATATCATGCCACTCCCTTCTGGCCTGCAGTTCCTGCTGAAAGAACATCTGATAGCCTTTTGAGGTTTTCCTTGTAACTATGTGCTTTTCTTTTGCTGCTTTTAAGATTCTCTTTTATCTTTTAATTTTTGACATTTTAATTATGTGTCTTGATATGCACCTTCTTGGGCTCATCTTGTGTAGGGTTCTCCGAGCATCTTAGACTTGGCTGGCTCTTTCCTTCCCCACGTTAGGGAGGTTTTCAACAATGACTTCTTCAAATAAGTTTTCTGCCCCTTTTTCTCTTCTTCTGGGACCCCTTATAATACCTGATATTGTCATAGAAATCCTTTAACCTATCCTCATTAATTTTTTTTTTCTTTTTGCTGTTGTGCTTGGTGTGTTCCATTACCCTGTCTTGCAGATCGCTGATCCTTTCTTTTGCATCTGCTATTTATTCTCTAGTTTTCATTTCAGTTATTGTATTCTTCAGCTCAGTTCTGAGCTTATTCACTTTTCTCCCCAGTCCAGTGTGAGCATCTCTATGACCATTACCTGAACTCTTCATCAGGTGGATTGCTTATGTTTCCTTTAGTTCTTTTCTGAGGTTCAGAACATATTCTTCTGTCTCATTTTGTCTGACTCTGTGTTTCTATATATTAGGTATGTCACTTACATCTCTTGGACTTGAAAGTAGTGGCCTTATATAGAAAATGTCCTGTGGAGCCCATTAGTTTAATACCCCCTGATCACCAGTCCGGCACTATGGATATCCCTTGTATGGGCTGTATGTACCCTTCTGTTGTGACTGGTCTGCAGCAGATGGGGATGCTGTGGCAGGTGTGGCTGCCCCCCCCCCCCCCCCCCAGCACAACTGGCTGAGAGTGTGGTTGCAGCTGCTGCTGGCTTATTGGTGGGTTTTGTAGCTCCTGGCTGATTTGTATTGGTGGGGGAGGGGGGATGTGTCTATATTCTGAATCTAGCCCTTTGTTCATATGTTGCAGACAGCTCTTCCCAGTTAGTTTTTTCACTTTCCTTGTGTTGCCCTCAATTTAAAAATGTCTCTTATTTTACCCTTTTTCAGAACGCCAGTCTGAATTGCCAACCCAAAGTAAGGCTAGCTTCCCTAGTATTCTCAGTGACCCAGACCCAGATTCTTCTAATTCTGGATTTGACAGCTCAGTTGCCTCTCAAATCACAGAAGCTTTAGTCAGTGGACCAAAGCCACCTATTGAAAGTAGGTATATTACTTTTTTGTACTTGGTTTTATTTTACCAGCATCCTGAGACTTTTGGTTTTCTAAAACATGGTGTTACCTTTGTTGCTGCTTAAACTTGAATTCAGTGAGACACTTCCCAGTTATAGTGTCTTGTAGAACATAGTAGTGATGGTCTGTGTTCTTTAATAAAATTACATTTCAAGTTTTTTTATCAGCATTCCTGAAGATACAAATTCTGATTTTACTGAAATGAGTCTTCTGTAATTTATTAACTTTTGTATTCAGGCTTCTATGTGGTTTTAGTGATGAAGGCATGCTTTATCCTTAGGGTAAGAAAATGTTCTCCAAATTATAGTGTCACCATGAGTTTAAAACTTACATGACTTTAATGCCATTATTAGATCTTTGACATAAATGGGTTTAATATTTGAAGTCTAAGCTGAGCACAAGTGTGCCTGACAGCCCCATGGCACATACTGGTTTTCATTTAATATTTGCTTACTGTGTGTTGCGTAAGCCACCAGAAAAGTATGTGAAAAGCAAATCAGATACGGAGTCTGGCTAAACGTACGTACTTCTTGGGAATGTTTTCATTATCATATAAGTAGTGCTTCTCCTGAGGTGTTAAAAGTTTTTTCTTTTTATAAGTGGTCTGAAAAGAGATTGAGATGCTAGTCCTACTAGATGTAAAATGCTGGATGTAAGTGAAGAGAGAGTAGAAGATAAACTGGTGATTCTTAGCCAGAAAACCTTTTCAACAAACCATTCTCAAATTTGGCAGGGGCTAGGACCCATGGTCAGAATAAGCCATCTGAGGCCCTGTGTGGAAACCAGAGTGAGTTATGAAATTTGTTCAGCAAAAATCCCAGCCAGCATTTATTTTCTTGGGCTTATAACTTAGGGTTCAGTCTTATTTCATACAACAATTGAGGTAGAGTCACTGCATTTTCCTATTGTTGTTTTACTGTTCTATGAAAATGAATATGGGATTTGTGAATTCAGGGGTTTATGAAAGTCTCTGGATTCATTTGGGAATGTCAAGCCAACTGTACTTTTTTGTTCCCTGCCATTTTATCTACACATAATTTGCCACCTCAACATTAGAAGATGCAAAGAAAAAACCACAAATAGTAGTGCTGAATAAAATAATAGTAATTATTCACTACTACTGAATAAAATAATAGTAATTAATGGGGCACCTGGGTGGCTCAGTCGGTTAAGTGTCTGACTGTTGATCTCAGCTCAGGACTCGATCTCAGGGTTGTGAGTTCAAGCCCCACGATGGGCTCTGCACTGGGTGTGAAGCCTACTTAAAAAAAAAAAAATACCGGTCACTAAGAATAGGAAGAGTGAGATCAAGTAGCATTTCATTTTTCCCATCAGAACTCTCACCAGTATGTGAAGTTGTATCCTTTTGCTTCTCAGTGGTGATCATGCTTGAATTAAAAATCATCAGATCATGGTAATGCCTTCATCTCTCCTGAAAAGTAGATTTGGGCTCTGGAATAATAATGTTATATCAGTGTTTCATTTTGTTGGCATTCTGAATAAAACCCTGACTTTCTATGTCATCTCTGCTTTGGATTTTGAAGTCTGCAAGTTTTATCATGTTATCTTTATACAGATGTGCATAGATGGTAGCTTCCTGATCGAAGCAAACATTCCTACTCTCGTTACAGGCCATTTCCGGCCAGAGTTTATTCGTCCACCACCTCCACTCCACATTTGTGAGGATGAGCTGGCTTGGCTGAATCCAACAGAGCCTGACCATGCGATTCAATGGGACAAATCAATGTGTGTCAAGAATAGCACTGGTGTGGAGATCAAGCGAATAATGGCCAAAGCCTTCAAAAGCCCCTTATCTTCTCCTCAACAAACACAGGTATGTATTTATTTGTAGGTGTTTTATTTTAATCCTTCACATGATAAATGACCAATAAAATGATCCTGCCGATAGGAGCCAGCAATAAGAATGTTTTGGATCCAAGGAGTCTTGGATCTCTGGAGCTTTGTTCTGCCCCTCCCACTCTGGTCATTTTACTCTGGTGGAAAAAGACTGATGATGACTCAACATGTATCAACACTTATTTGGGGCCATTTTGACTATGGGAGAGGAGGAGTAGGATGGATCTCACATTTTTGGCATTTTGCATATGTTGTTACATTTGCTGGACAGTAACTACTGAGGGTGAGATTAACATCTTATGGAGGAAGAAAATGAGACCTAGGGAAGGTAAGCTAGCCACTGTCACACAGCTGGTTAGTGGTGGATTTGAAATTTAGAATAGCCCCTGCTATTCTTTGTGTAAGACTCCCCTGGGCGGGGAAAGGCAAGGATACCTGGTGGGTGGTTTCTGTTTGGTGAATTTTACCCAGCTTTGCAAACTTAAACAGTGGAACTTGTGAGGACATACTGACACTTCCAATCCAGTTTACCACTGAAAATGTTACTTTCAGAGTCAAATAACAGCTGTTCGTAGTTCACTTTGTTTGCTAGGCCATCCTAAAACACAGTCCACTGTGGTATATGCAGGCAGGTAGGGGAATGAACATAGAGAATTTGTAAGAAAAACCACTTATTTGGCAGAACTGCTTTTGAAGGTGTTTATTTAGATTGCATCACATGAGTAGGGCCTGAACTGTACGGTCCTGCCGTGAGGCACCACAACAGGGCAGCGATCTCCTCCCGTCATGCTTCTCTCCTTGAGTGTCTGCTCTCTGCCTGGGCTGCACTCTTTCCCCTGTTCTCAGTTCTTTGTGGTCTGTGCTTTTCTGGAGAACTGGTTGGCAACTAAGATAATTTTTGGTTATAACAGAGGATAGGAAAAGCCTACAAAGCTGTTAAGGAGGATACTGTTACAGTCCACACAGCATTCTATCCAACCAGACCATACTGAGGCTGGTTTAATGCCCTGGAAAGGGATCACTAGCATTTTTAGTCTTGAAGGTGTCTGCATTTTAATATCTTCACAGCTTAAATGTAAATTTAAAAATTAATACAAGATTATGATGGGTTTCAGGGAAGAAATTTACCAAGTTGGTTCAATGTAGATTATTTTATAGTTTGGTTTTGTAGGCAGGAAAGAGAATATCTGACTTAAGAACCTCTCTCTTTTTAAAAATTTGGTTGTATTTAGCTCCTGGGTGAATTGGAAAAAGACCCCAAACTCGTTTATCATATTGGCCTCACTCCAGCCAAACTTCCAGACTTAGTGGAAAACAACCCTCTAGTTGCTATAGAAATGCTGCTGAAGTTAATGCAGTCAAGCCAGATCACAGAGTATTTTTCGGTTCTGGTCAACATGGACATGTCTTTGCATTCAATGGAAGTTGTAAATCGGTAAGTTTTTATACTTGATCAGGTGTGGGTGGGTGGCAGGGGCGGTGTGAATCTAGATCCTGATTAAATGGCCAGAAGGCAAAAACTAGCAACAAATTTTTAGTTGTTTTTTTTTTTTTTAACCTTCTTGAAATTGTACTGAAG